GGAGGAAAGTCAGGCATTTTAGGGAGGCTCGAGACAGCTCCTCTGTAACCGGTGAGACGCTACTTCTTCCCCACCCCGCTTCCAGCACTCCTCCTGCCCTCCAGCCACGACAAACCCTTTGCAGCAGAGCTGCACCCCACAGAGAAAACACCACCGCACCCCTCCAAACTCGCCCAAAGGCAGCAGCTGCTCCCGGCGCAGCAAGAGCACCCAACGCACGCACACGGCTTGCAGCTCTCTGCCGTGCGCTCGCAACCAGAGAAGCCCCAAGAGGGGCTGAGCACAGAGAGGACAAGTCTACCATGAAGCCTCTGAGGTCTACCACTGTGCAAAGGAAGGGAAATTCCATCGGGATGGAAGGCATCCCACTGCACCGGCACTGCCGTCGTCACCAACGAGGAGTGGGTCAGACACAGGGGGCCCAGACCCACAGAGGGGACACGCCTACGGGACAGGAGGGTGATGAGAAAGGGAAGGGTTGAGGAGCAAGCAAGGAGCGCTCGGCCCCTGCTGCCGAGCGAGCGGAGGACGCGATGCGGCGGCCAGGGAGGGCTGGGGTTTCTATCAGCGGATCGGCACCCCGCTGCGGCGCTTTGCAGGAGAGCCGCAAATCACTCGCCAAGCACCCGCTCCTTCCACCCTCCCCGGGCGAGCCCCGCTCATCGATCCAGCCCGTTGCAACACCCCTATTTCTGACCTGGACCCCTGCTCCCGAGCACCCCTTCCCTGCCTCCCCCCACCTCCCAACACCTTCCCGGGGCTGCGCCGAGCCGCAGTGACTGCAATGGCCTTGCACGCATTGCCTCTGCTGCGCAGGTAAGGGATTTATTGATCCGTAAAGCACTCTGAGACGCTCTGGAAGGGATTATGTCATGCCAGTGCCGTGCAATAAAATAAAAAATGATGGATTTTTTGTGAACATGAGGGTGATTTAGGGTTTGTAGTTGGAAGTGTAGTTAAAGTACATTTTAAGTGGAAATCAAGGTGGGTAATGAATTATTCTCTGTTTTGAAGGGCTGCTGGGAGTTCATTTTTTTGCCGCTCTGGGCACAACGGCTAATCTGCTCATCATGCGCTGGAGGACAACTACGGATCAGCCGCTCCCAGAACAGTGGGGGCTCTGGGGCAGGACAGCGGAGGGCACCAAGGCGACACCGCAAGAAATATTCATATGCATCAGTGTCATTAAGCCCAGCATACGGGGACCGCACGCAGCTCCTGGGACCGCCCGCCCGGAGCCGGGAGATGCTCTGGCAATAGTTCATCGAGGAGATGTTATTAATTGCGATTGCCCAGCGAGGCTGGGACCGCTGGCCGGGAAACCCCTGCGCGCTTCGAACACACCAAGCTTACGGCCTCGGCACCAGAAATAGCCCACGGAGGCGTTACCGGTGCCGCTTCGGAGCGGCGGAAAGAGGCAAGCGGAGGCGCGGTGAATCGCCCTCCATCGCCTGCGAAGGAGCAAGGGCTTCCAGCTGCGAGTCCCGGCAAAACTAGAGCACCGTCTCTCATCTTCAGCGAGACGCCTGCCAAATCGCAGAGGAACCTTCCCGACGTTTTTAACTGCTGAATACACATCAACCCAGTTTAGTATGTTTTGAAGAGACTTAAAAAAAAAAAGAATCGAGTCAGACTTTGCACCACAACTCTTGTACCGCGCACACAGATTCGCAGCCGCCCAGGCGAGAGACGAAAAATCTGTAATCGAATCAACTGACCAGATTCTAAAATATACTTAAAACAAATTAAACTTGGGTTTCCTGAAACACGAGCCTTGCATCCTCCTCCTCAGCAATACAGCAGGAGATTTAAATTCTGCTCGGGCCAGGAGGAGAGAGGATTGCATTGCTGCTTGGCCGGGCAATGGGAGACTTCGCATCTCTCGCCGCCGAGTGCAGAAGAAGCTCGAGCTGCTCGTGCGCCGGGGACAAAGCCCACCGTGCCCCGGCGAGCTCGGGGAGAGGCCATTTACTGCGGCCCGCCTGGGAGGAGATGAGGCAGGAATGGCTGGGAAGTAAACCGCAGCAACGGCGTCAGCGTAGTCGTTAGCTAACCCTTAAATTAAATGTGCAGTGGTAGGATTTAACGTGACAGTTACTGTATGCTAATTAAACGTTTGAATAATTAACCACAGGAACTATTTCAAACGCCTTTCTGGAGACTGAACAGGTATGTTGCAAGGCTTTTTCCACACTGGGGAGGGAAACCTTAATAAATAAGTGATCGCAAGTGTATATTTCATACTATTTAACGGTCACCGGTGCTCCCGTTCCCTCTGCATTGAAACGCTCCCTCCGTCAGTTGGCATTGCGGCGGCAATGGGGCAGAGGAGAAATTTCTTATGCCGAGCGCGGGACGCAGATGGAGCTGTGCCCCTATGGGAATGAATAAATAAATAAAGCTAAATAAATGCAGGCTTCCCAGGCGGGAACCCTCTCCTTGCGGGCAGTCCTTTTGTGTTCAGCATCTCTCTTGCTCAGAAGTGATTAAACATGGCAGTGTTGGCCAAGCTGCTCCAGTGACACAGCGCAGATTTCCCCGGAGACGGGCTGGTGTTTTATCGATCCGACTTCTTTTTCCCCCCCTATCCTTGCCACGATGATGGGAAAGGTCCTTGGGCTGCTCTCAGCCGCTGCAGCCCTTCGCAGATGCCCGGGGCGTGCGCCCGGTTTGGCCAGAGCCGGTGCCCGCTCGCACACACGGAGTCCCTGGGACACGAAAGCTGCTTGCTTAAACGTTTAACCAAACCATCTGGCGCGCTGCACGTTCGAGGGTGTTCAGTCAGGTGATGTATGTCTTGATGGATCCAAGCATATGCGCTTGCCTACGCAGATCCATTCCCTGGCGCACAGACACCCTCCTGCCCCTGGCACAGACTGCATCCCCGCTGCGCTTACACCTCCAAACGCCCCTCCCAGAGCCAAGACAGGTGCCGAAGCTCGCGCATCCCGTGCACGCACCCCTTGGCCCTGCCATCTCCTACCAGCTTTACTTCCCCATCATCTTCCTCGCGTGCAACAACCATGCTGCTTACCTGTGCTTTCCTCTCCCCGACACCATCTCCTGATGTTACCCCTTGGCTCCCCGGGCACCCCAAATTTCAGGCGAGAGGCCCCTGAGTGTTAGCAGGGCGTGGATCTGGAGCAACCTCTCCACCAGAGACAAGGGAGGAGAGCTCAGATGAGCCTCACCAAGCTGGGTGCCTTCAAGGAGTAAGTGCATTTTTTTGCCTTAACCACCTTCTCTTCTCCCCAGTTTTGAGAGCAGAGCAAGGAGAGTGAAAATACACGTGGGACCTTTCCAGACGTGCGAATCGCTTCTGGTGCTCGCGCCAGCAAAGCGCCCGGCGCTGCGCAGGACCCAGAGCCCCCAGCAGCAGCCTGCGAGCCAGTGGGCTCTCCCGGTAAGCACTGCCTCGCCTCCCCCTCGCAAAACACGCACCTCTCCATCTTCCAGCACGAGCAACATCTGCTCCAGATCAAAGGAAACAACAAAGAACAGCTATAAAAGCGTCTCGAAGAAAGAAAAAGAGGGAGATTCAGCCTTGCGTTCTGCAGGCGATCTGTGATGCGCACTGGCAGCTTCCTGAACATCAGGCTGCCTCTGCTCCTGCTTTTAATAACAGCCTCTTACTGCTGTCACCCGCAGACTCTACCACGGGTCCTGCCTCTGGGACTCGGCCAGGGGGAGCCCCGGGAGCCCCAGCCCTGCTCAAGGCGATGTTACGAGTCCAGCCGAGCCCACCAGCAACCAAGGGGTCTGCCAAAGCCACCCGGGACCGGGCGCAAGGCAGGGACCCCTACGTCGGGGTCCCCATCCAACTCCTCCAGGCTGTAACCGGAGCAGTTTTCTCTCCTCCGGCAGCAGCCAGGCCGGGAGAAGGTGCGGTGCTCCGGCTGCCGCAGCGCCAGGCACCTCCATTGTGCCTTCTCCTCCTTTGTGTTCCAAACCTTTCTGCCTTCTTAAGGAAGGCAGAGAGCAAATTAAGAGCCCTGCGCCTTCAATTACAGGTGTATTGTAATGGGCTTTTAAATCAGTTTGTGCAGCTCGAACACAGCCATAATTAAGAGAAAAGCAGAGAGGGCTTCATCCTTCTGTCATATCAACACAGCTCAGGAGCCGTACTGAAGAAGCCCACGGGGTGCCAAACCTTTCTGCCTTCTTAAGGAAGGCAGAGAGCAAATTAAGAGCCCTGCGCCTTCAATTACAGGTGTATTGTAATGGGCTTTTAAATCAGTTTGTGCAGCTCGAACACAGCCATAATTAAGAGAAAAGCAGAGAGGGCTTCATCCTTCTGTCATATCAACACAGCTCAGGAGCCGTACTGAAGAAGCCCACGGGGTGCGAAGGGCAACCCCAGCCTCAGAGCCTGCATCCAGCCACACTGCCCGCTCATGTAGGCTTGTATACAAACCCCTTACAATCACAGGGGCCGATCCTGCCCCTGCCCTGGGTTTGCACCATCCAGGGGCCGATCCTGCCCCTGTCCTGGGTTTGCACCACCACCCCCTTCCACGCCGGCGTGCCGGGTGCGGCTCAGCTTTGCCGAGGGACCGAGCCTCCCCCCGCCCCGTGCAAACCCGGTGGCAGCCAAAGACGTGAAGAAAGCAGCCTGCAAATGCAGAAGACATACGTAACGACCTTAATAAGCAATTAATAAATAACTAATGGCAATTGCTCGTTTTAAAGCGAGGCGTAATGAGATGTGTCATACGGCACCGAGATGTGTCTAAATGATTTCCCGAGTAGAGAACAGCTCCTGTTGCAGCGAAGCTCTCCCGAGCTTGGAGGACACGAA